GACACCGAAGAGAGGGAACATGAAAATGCGCATGAATCTGTACTGCGGGTTGCGCAAGTGATAATACATTGGCCAGATCCTACAACCTAGTGAGCTTTTCCTTTACTTGTGCAGATCCGACAGGTTAACCGAATTTACTACTTGGTCGGTTACACCCTAGGGGCTCTCAACTCTCAAGATCCCGTCACAGGAGGCGGCAAGTACGACTTAAAGGACAACACAAAGGCAAGGGAACACACCCGCAAGGCAACCCTACGGCTAGATCCACGATCTAGGCCCCGGATCCATAAGCTCGAATATTCGCTTAGGATACGGAACCATCCACGGACGCAGAGTGAAGATTTTCCACTGCTGCTCCACCCCATCCCCACGTCTCGCCAAGACACTCAAGCTTCACCACTTGAACTCTTCGGAAGTTACCGAGAGAGCAGATCCCGCCCTACCGACGGGTACACAAGGTGAGGAAAGTTCAGCAGAACACGGATCATCGGGGGACCCCCTCCGTTAGTCGGTGTCTGGGCGCAGTTGGTAAGTTGGATCTGGCAATCTCGCAGATTTTGCTGATCCCGCTACACCACAATTAGGTTTAACTATGCTAGATAGTTAAACAGGTACATTTACCCCTAGGCGGCTTAGCCGCAATAATAGTAAATAAAACACTTCTGGTTTTGAAGCATAAAAGTTTAGGTATTAACTTTGAGCCCTGTGTTTGGGCTGTAAGTTCCTTTGGATAAAGAATAGTATTGGTGACTTTTTGAGTCGAACGTCTTCCTCTGGTGCTAAAGCTACGGCAGCCCCGCTGCACTACTGAAGCCTTATAAAGTGGGTTTACTTACTGCATTGATATGGTGTGAGGTGCGTGGTCAAAGGTGAGCGCGACAATCATTCAACACTGCTGGCAACTCTCGGGTTTAGTTAACAAAGCGAGCATCCATTACTTGCTTTGTTACCTTATATCAATACAGGCTGTTTTTCGCTCCAAACCGCTTTGCGCAATGTCGTTTTATACACTACAGACTGGCATATATATCAGGCGTTCGGTATTCACGCAGAATATTGTAGCTACTATTGCAAACTAGCATGCATACACGCAGCGTACCTCGAGAAACGTGGCGTTCCGCGGCTTCCGTTTTGAAAATGGGGGCTTAAAGAAATTTGAACTTTGCATTTAATTACTGAACGATATGTAGACCACATACAGTGTGTACACCACATATCGCGATTATAGCCAATCGAGGCCGCCTTCGCAGTTTTAGCGTGAGTTTTATTAGCCCTACCCTTGAACGGACTGACGGGCGCAGATGAGACGCCGTCGTGCAGATTTTGCACCAATTTAAAGGCAACGACGTTTCGAAACTACCAGCGGCGACCCTGCATCCAGACAAAGAAGCCACTTCAAGAGGTCTCAATGGCGGACTCGCACCGCCCGAAGGTGTCGACACCCAGCTCGACGTATGGTGTGATAGGGGGGACGCCACGCCTGGCAGCGTCTAAAAACCAGCAATCTCCGAGGGAGTCTGCTCAGACCGCCGTCTTACCACGGATCGATCGACCGCAAAAGCCTCATGCTAATTTATCCAATTCGGTAAGGAGTGGCGGTCGATCGATTCTTCTTCCTCCTCGACGACCACCTAGCAAAGACGCGACACCCAATGAGGAAATTTCGCGGGCATTTCACGGGGAAGCTTTAGAGGGACCCTCGACGAAAGCGGCATGGTGCACGCCGCGTAATCTCACTTGTGGTTTCTCAACGGGGTCTCATGTCGTATCGTTCTTTTCAGCGGCAGAAGCAAGCAGCAGATATGACGACACCGCAGTCCGCATACCCACTCCATTACGTCTCCAGTCTTTTGAGAACAGTATCAACGCAAATGAAGAACGATATCGCGTTAACATGGAACAGCTTACGTCTAACAATGACAAGTTTCTCGAGATCTCCATGTCCGCAAACCAACACCTGGAACAAATGCATAGCCAACTGCCCAATATATCGGAAGTGTTCGGTCAGACAGCGTACGTCGTGCATTATTTGATTGTTCATCACTCCTCCGCTCTAATTCCCCATTCACCATCGATAGATCTGCTCTGCACAGCCTGTCAACGGACATTACTACGCTTCATGAGCAGCACGAGAGTGCAAAGAATGGCATGTACGAAGGATATTCCTTTGAGTTGGTTAAGACCTTAACTTCTCACGTTACTAACGATTTACTACAGGGCGATTCGATTTGAAGCTGCGATGAATTATAACGCGGAAGAAGTGGCTTCCTTATCTGAGATGCATGCTAACGAGAAGGCGGAACTGGTTGAAGCACTTGAGCGAGACCTTGAGATAGCAGCCCAAATTTTTCGCGAAAAGAGCGAGCAGATGGAAGAGAGATTCACTGAAACGGAGAAGAAATATCTAGATGACCTTCAGAAACTTCGGCTGTTATCGGAGTCTAAAATGGAGGTGGTTCAAGAATCCAATCGTGCAGAGAAAGAGGAAATGGAGCAGTCAGCCAAGGCTGCTTTAGAGGAACTTAATACTAAAGCTCAGGCTGCACTGGACGAGGCTCGATCCAGCTCACAAACAGCGTACACTGATCTACAACAGCGTTCGCAAGCAGCATATTCCGCGCTCCAGCTGACGTCAGCTGATGAACTTGCTGCTGTAAAGAAGGCTTTGACCACCGAAATGCTGTCCCTCAAAGAAAACGCTGCAGCTACTTTTGCAGCGCTGGCGGACAGATCAGAGCGACAACTTCAGGAGCATCGCGAACGCAGCAATGAAGCTCTCCAACAGCTTAAACGTTTACACGCAAGGGAACGCGACCATTTACTCGAGAAGGCAGCAGAAGAAACTGCACGTCTTCGCATGTTTGAGATCGAGCAGTCCACTCGAATGGAAGACCACCGGTGCCGGGAGACAAAGGCACTGAGCGAGGAGCTTGAATCCACCAAGACAGAGCTTTCTAGCCAGATAAACCATCTACATCGGCGATATACGTCTGAGCTCGAAGTTCTGAAAGCTACCTCCGGTGCTGAGAGGAATTTGCTGTTGCAAGCGCATGCTGAAGAGACAGAAGATATCTGTTCAGCTGCTGCTCAAGAGCTCTCATGGACGCTATCATCATATCAAGACAAACTGGCCTCAATGATGGAAGCACATGCAGCTGAAATGACCAGAAACAAAGAGAAAACAGCGCTAGCGAGAGAGGCTTTGGTCACTATGTATGAATCGGATCTGGAATTGCTGCAGAATGAACGTGCACGAGAAAAGGACGCGCTGGTACGTCATCACGAAACGGAATTGAAAAGTCTCAAACGATCGAGCACAGAGGAACACGACAAGACTGTAAAACTTTATGAAGCGCAGGTAATGCAACTACGAGAGGCTCACGCATCGAGGGTGTTATCCTTGGAGATGACGATGCGTGAACAGAAAACACAGGCGGAAGACGCATTACGTGAGAAAGAGACAGAGCTAGAAACCAGACAAGAACGCATCGATGCGCTGGAAGCCAGTGGAGTCGCTCTGAATGAACGTCACGAGGTATATTTTGAACAATGCCTGGAACTCGTCGAGCGGAAGAACATGGCTCTTGCTGAGTTGGAGAGTAACATCTGGCGTCTCGACCAGTCGAATCTGGAGAAGGAAGGTATGCTGGACTCGACAAATTGGGCCCTTAAAGCTGCGGAGGAAGGCGTCCAGGTTAAGGCAAATACCATCCTAGAGCTTACGTTTGTCGTCAAGAGCCGCGACGACGAGATTGAAAAACTGCGGAATGCTTTGTTGGACACAGTTCAAACCGTGAACTCGAAGACAGAGATACTAGAGCTGACCACCGAGACGTTGTCATCGAAGGCAAAGGAGCTGGAAGTTACGAAGAACGCGCTTCGGCTGGAGTCTGGTAAGTTGTCGATGGCGAAGGAATCTATGAACCAAAAGGTGGAGATGCTCGAAAACTCAGAGCTAAACTTGGAAAGGATGCGGCTCAATATGGAGAATATGCGGCTAGAGATTAAGCGGATACAGATGGAAATGAAGCTGCAATTGGAGCACACGGAGGGAGAGATTGACCTGAAGAATGGAGAGATTCGTCGACTGCATGGAACGAAAAGCGAGCTCATACAGAAAAACGATTACTGTCAACAAACTATCGTGAGACTGGAGGAGTCGCTTGCGTTTGCTCAAAGACAAGGAGAAAAGACCCAGCGCCGTATGGAGCTGCTACGATTGGAGACCGCGCAAGCCTCAGACGAAACGAAGACAGTTTGTGATGAATTACTAGACAAGGAGCAAGAGTTGGTGATCATCACAAGAGAAAAGCAGACGATTACGATGGAAAAGCAGCGACTAGAGATCCAGTTCAACGACCTCAGTCAAGTGAATGAGACGCTTAAAGAGAAGGTGGAGCTCCACAGGATGCAAGCGGAGGAGATTCATGCTCAGTACCAGATATTGTTGAAAGAAACAGTAGCCGCTAATGAGGAGCGGTTGCGATCTGAGAAGCATCTTCATCTGCTGAAGCTGTCTGTTGCAAAAGACACAATTCGGCACCTGGAAGGAGTTGAAGGGCGGTTGGGCGACACCACATCAAGATTAGAGGCGGTAATGAAGGGAAATCTGCATCTTCACGCCGAAATCAAGATGCTCACTGAAGCTTTGAAGAATTACAAGGACACTGATCGACAACTTGACGCTGCCAATCAAGAGATTAAGCAGAAAGACAAGCGCATGGAAGACAAAAGCCAGCAACTAGATGATCTCAACAAACGACTGTGTAAGTCTGGAGATGAAGCGCAGCATCTCTTGGATACGTCGCGGATGGAGATTGAAGATTGGATGAGCGATTTCTATCGGCTCGCGTGTAGTAAAGATGAGATAGTTCAACTGAATCAAAGCCTCGAGTCGAGCCTTTCGGTGGAAAATGAGCAGCTGTTGCTTTTACTTGGTCAAGAGAAGAGGGAAATTGTGAGTCAAGCTGAGGATCTTCAAGAAAGAATTGCTGGGTTACGAAAAGAAGGCGCTCAAGCTGCGAGTAATATTATTGGCTTGCAACATGCCCTGAGTGAGAAGAAGAAGGAGTTGGAGTACTTGCAGGAAATCTTAGGCAAGCAGACCACTGACATACGGGAGATCAAGGCTACTCTTAAAGCGCTAAGCAGCGCCCATTTCGATCTCCAGACGCAGTTTTCTTCTTCAAGCAATCAACGACAAAAGGAGAATGAAGAACACCAAATCACAATTCAGTCACTGCAACAGGATCTCGAGAACAAAACGAAGCAGTGCGAAACATTGCAGCAGTCTCTTGACATCCAGCGACAGAAGATCGATCTTCCCATGGTACAGCACGACAGAGATGTCATGCAGTTGACGGATGGACATTGCAGTGAAGCTGTGCAACTGATCGAGAGCCACCGAGCCCAAATTGCTCAGATGACAGAAGATTATCTCGATCAAATTAACAAACTCAAGGAAGAACATTTTAAGGTGACAGAAAAGCGACAACGTGAGAGCACCCGATTGGCTGATCAAGGGTCTGAACACCAAAGCGACATTTCTCGAATAACTGAAGAGCATCAAAGCGAAATTGCTCGTCTTAAAAATGTTTATCAGACTGAAATTGACCGACTGGGCAGTAATCTTTGCTACCACGTCTCGGAGCTCACAGTAGATCGTCCGAGTCGAATTGCTGAGCAAACTGAAGAGCATCGCATTGAAGTTGATGGGCTCACAAGAGATTACTTTAAGGAAGTGGAGGAGCCTCACCGAGTCAAAATTACACAGATAGCCCAAGACCATGATGATGAAGTTGCATGCCTGAACCGCTGCGAAATGGCGCGTTTGGATGAGGATCACGGCAAAGACATTGCTCGTTTTGTTGAAGAATACCACGGTGCTGTTGTCCGAGTGGCAGAGGGCCAACAAGAACAGCATCGTCAAACTGCCTCACTGCCCGAAGAGCACTCTTGGTTGGAGATCATGCACGATGCGGATGAGTGCATTTCTAATCGCGGCGCTGAAATAGAAAATCAGCAGCTGAAGATTTTGATAAGCCATGCAGCAGATGAACAGATACGTGCAGCCTGTGCGCACTCCCTAGAGCTGATGACAATTCATGTGGCACGTGGACATGAGATCGCGAAGCACGCAACGAAAAACAAGCCTGACATGAGCAAACAGCCGACTGAATCCTCTCGCCACTTAGTACTGGCGGACCACAAGAAGATGGCGGACCAACTGGAGTTGATGCGCTTGCGTCTCATAGAAGAGGAAGAGCACAACGTATCTCTAGCTAGGGCTGAGAAAGAGTCGAGCGAGACGTCTCTTGCTAAAAAAAAGGCTGCGGATGCTGTGACGTCATCGAAAACGAAGATAAACGAACTACAGGTACAACTGCAAGCTACAAAAGGGATCACACCTGAACGAGCGATGACCAATGCCTGCAACAAGAAGTTTGACAGGCGTGCGGGTGGAGATTGCAGCTGCTTCAATACTCATCTTGCTGCCGATTTCGTTGTGCGCTGTGAGGATGTGCTACAACTACCAGAAGATAACGGCACGTTGATGCTTGATGATATCGTGGAATCTGTAGAGCCTTTTATGGAAATCCTGCAGCACTTTGAGCTGCTACAACCGAAGCTCGATAGCCTTGGTCGGCCACCTACTGACACAGATGCACCGCCTACGCTGAAGAACAAGGTGACTGCAGTGATTACCTTCGTGGAAGAGCTGCAACTTCTGGCCGATTTTGCACAGAATATTCTGAACGATGAAAGCACAACCGAAGGAGACCCAGGAAGCAACGAAAGCAGCAGATCCAGTCTCGAGGCGCTTTGTGTTTTGACACGAGCTCCATCGCCTGCGCTAGCTTTTGACGAATTGCAAATTGGTGTTGACGTCGCAGTTGATGACAGGATGCAAGAACTTGATCAAAACCTGTGCAGGGAATCAACTGAAGAGGATGATAGACCGCATGAGGCATTTTTCGCCTCGCCTGACGAGAAATTATCATCCAGTCCACGTTCGCCCTTCTTATCAGACTCCCTAATGGGCATTTCACTCGTTATGAGTGACTATCATCGTCTTTTGGCCCAAACTACTCGTTGGATGGCCAAGTCAAGACAAAACGAGTCTCGCAGTCATGCAGTTAGTTTGGGGACGGAGATTAGTCGTCTAGTGCAGGAGCATTGCGCACTATTATCGTTGTCTCGTCGACTCTTTCGACTGAAAGACCCGCGACGTGAGCTAGTTTCTCTCCTGGAAGGTGTGGCGCTTCTTCAAAGGATGACTGGAAGACTGACAATTTTTCAGAAAAACTCAGACAAAGTGACCTCTTGCTCTTCTGTTCCCAATTCAAACCATCATTCGGAGTCGTCAACGTCGCTAAGTAAAGGTGACAATGACTCAGTTGAGTCACTTTCGCGTCCTGTGCTAGCTTCGATTGAAGATATAGCGCGGCATCTTCAAGATTACGACTATTTTCTGCAGCAGATCAAGCTGGACGAAGGCCTGGAGGGCCAGGAAAAGAATATAGCCACATGGATTAACATCGAATCACTTGTCCAGGAGATAAATGAGCGAGTGATGATTGTGGGGCAGAGTCAACAGCTGCTGGGATTCCAAAGCCCACTTGAGGAGTTGCCGGTTTTCCTTGTAGGTGCTCAAGAAGTTCTTCGGCAGGCAAAGCAGATACGCGAATCGTCTGTGCGTTTGGAGAAGAACTCACTAAAACCGGGTGGACAGGTGCAGGAGGAAGTAGAAGCGACTGATAAAGTTACAGATACTTGCTCTGGTCTCGAAGCAGCGTTGAGAGAGATGGATGCGGTTATTGAGGACTTACAGGACTACAATGACTTGTTTGCATGGTTGAAACAAGCTCTCCCACAGCCAGAATCAGTAAAATCCGTCGCCGATTTAAAGGATCGCGTGAAGGAAATTCTAACGCATATCGATGCACTCACAACTGACAACTTGTATCTGGAGCAAGATAAAGAACCCATAAAGAGCGGGTTGGAGCAGATGGAGGAAACGCAAGATCATCTCATGAAAGAAGCGTCACAGGAAAGTGAACTACTGCGAGAACTAGCAGCTTTGGAGGCTCAGGCCTTACTGTCCCCTGTAGAAGAAGTGTCAACACGGATTGAACTGATTCAGGCATTAATCAAACAGCAGCAACGCGCATGCGACGACGCCCAGCAACGGAGAGCCGACATGAAAACGGAAGCAGCGTTCTTACGTCAGCACGATCTTCTCTCCGAAGCGGATGATCCTGACAAGGACGTTGCCTTGTCGGTGGCCACTCGTCTTGAAATTTACAGTCGACTGCTGCAAGATGCAGATCGCTTGCGAGCAAAGAAGACTGACGTGGAGGTGACGCTAAAGGCGGAGAGGAATGTACTGGAGTCCTTGACGAGTCAAGAAACTCAATGGAATACGGAAAAACTAGAAAGTGTCGAGAGCGAATTAGCACAAACTCGACAGGGAGTGGAGAAGGCGCTAGCTCAGGAGCGAGTTTTCTTGGGATCGACAGAGGTCTTATCGTCCATTATAAAGGTTAACCACGACGCCGATGGGTCCTTTTCTCGCCTTGAAATGTACCAGCAGCTTCACGACAAACTGTTGCTCTTACTTGACGACAGGCAAACGGTTGAAAATTGTGCGGCACAAGAGTTCGATTTCTTAAGAACGCACAAGTTACTTTCTCATAATAGCGAAGCTGCAAACGGTACCTCCGCACCAACAACTAAGGTGCTGTCTAGAATTCGACTGGAAATGTTCCAACGTCTCGTGAATTCACTGGCACAGCTTCACCAGCACGAAGAGGATCTCACCCAAGAGAACGATTTCTTAAAAGAGAACAGCTTAGCATTCGACCTCAAGGAACATCAGAAATCGCGGTTCTCTGTCTACCAGACACTTCTCGTAAGCCAAAACACTCTGATCGAGGAAAAACTGGAGCGTGAAGTGGCATTTGAGAGCGCGAAAGCGTTTCTTGCCTCCCATGGAGTTCCTGCCTTTGAAAAACCGATGGAAATCTACGAGGCGTACGTAAAAGTACGGGAAAAACTTTCTGATCTCAGTATCGACCTGAAGAACGAATTGCGCTTTCTAGCAGCGAATCAACTTTGCTCCAGTAGCGAGTTGAGTAATGACGCTGCTAATCTCGCCACTCCGTTTGCTTCATCGTTCCGACTGAAGGTCTATCAAAAGATGTTGAAGAATGTAGCTCAAGCTCGTGAATCGATTCAAGAGGTGAGAGTGCAATTATCTCAAACAATCACGGACGGCGAGTGTAAGATTGCCTCGTTGGCATCTAAAATTGAGCGGCTGGAAGCGTCTTTGATGGGGTGGCAGGAGTCCGCATATGCTTCCCAACAAGAATGGGATCGGATGTTGCTGGAAGAAGAGGACAGGCGACGAAGTTTAATCCGATACCACGACGATATTCAGAAGCAGACGGCCGCTGAGCATGTTCGTGTTTTGGAGGAGATTACCACAGCTTGTGACAACGCGATTGCACTCGCAGCAGCGACGAACGCAAAAGATCTGGAAGAAGTTTCTAAGGGGTACGAGAAGCAATTGGCGACTGACCTTCACAGGCAGGCGCAGCAGTTAGAACTCGCTGCGTACGTGCATAAAACAGAGAACGCAGCTCGCCGCGATACGTCGGACTCGTCTACACCGTCAACTTCAGCTGCGCAGAGTAGAGCTCAACTACTGGAGAAGTTTGCGAAGCGAGATGCAACAGCAATCAATCTCGTTTACAAGGCGATTCGGTTGACGACAGAGATCCTTAGCGTACCAGGCAACACAGCCGAAGTATCGACAGATGTCACTCAAACAGTCTTAGCTTGCGTCAAGGAGCTGAAGGCGTTGAAAGAGTTCTTGGTGCAGTCGTTCGAGCAGATCGCAAAGGACATCCCTCCTCCTTTAACTACTGCTCCGTACGACAAATGGATGGGCGATGCAGTTACACGAGCCACTGCCGACAAGGAATATGCCATCGATCTGGCACTCTGTTCACATCGGGAGTTTATGAGTTTTGCTGAAGTTCAGTTGCTCACTCGACAGGAGGAAATGGAGAAGGCTCTTGCACAAGTGTACGAGAAACTCAGGACTGCAGCAATCAATGGAGGCTTCACCCCTGATCACGAGAGAATGTTAGCACTGGAATTGGAAGTCACGCGGGAACGACAAGCTCAAGAAATTGCGTCGTGTAAATTCCGCCTCAATGAAGAATACTACCGGAAGTTACTTGAAGAATGCAAACAAGTGGAGATTGCACAGGCAGCCAATGTGAAGAGTGTTCGGGAAGAATGCAAGGCTTTGAGGCTAAAACTCGAGAAACTGGAGCATCAGATCCAACAGCAGACTATACTTTCCCAATTCCGACCGCCTTCGAGCAATCTGTACTCTTCTTCCGCACGTGGCACATATGTGTCGCCCGAAACACCTCGTGTCCTGAAAACTACCGCAATTTTTAATATCTCGATGCCCATGCGTCCGAAACGACCGAAAGGGGGTGGAAACGCTCACAAAGAGCAAATCGTGAGTGATCTCGAGCGAGAAACTGGCCAGCGACACACAACTACCGCTCGTCGTTTTAACGAATGGAGAGCTCGTGCAGAGGGGATTGCCGAGAACTCTGGCTCGGAACTTGAAGAGGATTCTGGAGCTACGCAAGGTAGAAAAATGGATCATGTGCTTCCACCTGCCACGGCTGTTCCTGCAACGGTGTCAGGTTCATCGCTGCACAATCAGGAACTCTGGTACCAAGGAGCTCGCTCGATCCATTACGTTTCCTTCTTTATTTCCATCTTCCTCGTCCCTAGACAACAGCTCTTCCGAGTGGAAGTATTCAACAGCGACACGGAGCAACAGCAGCAGACCGTACATATTACCTGGACCGAGATGCAGACGTTCCTTCAGGATAGCAGAAAGGCAGCACGCTTAGGAATCGCTCTATGTCTGGACCCTGAGATGGCCGTGACAATCCCTCAAAATGTGCGTGCAGACATGATGGACGTCCTCTTCGAGCGTGTGCGAGTCTACGGAGAAGGCACAGAAAATTCTCTTCTTGGGTTTGAATAAGGAGAACGTAACAGCGTAGAAAGAGAAGTACTGAGAAATGGTTCCACTCTCACATGGTAGTAGATGACGATTCAGGTCGCTCTCTTGGACTGCGTCGCTTTCTCCACCATTGAGTGAATGAAACATTGTGCCAAGGAGACACGGATGGATCGCTAGAGCTACTCTTGCCTCTTTCTCCAGAGTTTTTTCGCTTTCTTCCACGTTGCTCGCCACCAGCGTCGTCTTCTTCATCGCTCAATCTTGCTTCCCCATCTGTAGTCCCATCAAAACCATCTAAACGATCCGACAGCACCATGCCAAGATTCTCCGCCTGCTCCTCCATCGCTAGCAGGGCCGAGTAAGACGTGAAGACGTCGTCATCCAGATACTTGCGTGGGTTACTCTCGATGAGCTTGAGCAATCGAACAAAATGAGGATGAACTTCAGCAATTGGAACGTGAAGATTGAAGGAAAGTTGCGCGTAGACTGTAAATTCCGCTGTGAGAACATCACGCGATGGCAACGCGTGGGCTCGGTCGATGTCCTCCAGAAACTCCCGAATGACGCGTTTGCGCTCGTCGGAGGCGCAGGGTTCGTTGAACTTGACAGCTAGGAGGAAACACACGGCCATGTAGAGCTTGCGGTTGACTTTAGTGACGTAATGCTGCAGTACGAGTTTCTCAAAGAGAACACAGGCAAGAGCGACAGTCGCGACCTCCAGATTCAGACGCTGGCTGCACATGAGCGCCTCTCGCTTGAGATGTCTAAGTTTACTCAATGAGAGCGACGGGTCCTGCAGCCACCACGCGTGTTTCTCCTGGAATTTTTGGTTCAATTCGTCTTTCAGCTCGTGGGGCTTGACGAACAGCAAAATGCTGGACACAATGGGGCCGAGACTCTTGTCACCTCGCACCACGTGTCGATGGCGACCCTGCCGGAACTCTGGGTCGTCCAGGAAGTTGGCAGAGAATGGAACACGCTCCGGGTGGGCGTCTTCCCGATCTCGATCTGAGTCGCAGGTTGACCATGTGGCGTGCAATAGGCGGAAGTAGGACGTGCCTCGCCAGTCGTAGTCGGTCGGTGACGGACGCTCCAGTGCCAGGCCAG